GTAGCATGACTTCCCTAGACACTAGGCTCCTATTGATGCAGGCCAACATCCCATTGGCTTTTTTTGCTGCCACATCACATTGTTGGCTCATGTTTAACTTGTTGTCCACGAGGACTCAAAGATCTTTTTCACTTGAGTATATACGGTACATATTTTCCTTCACCTGCACTGTTTGAGATATCCTTATTTTTTACCTAGGAATAGGAATAGGAAAGTACTCGGGAGATCATTTTTTGGTCCCTGGCATGCACAGCAATAATAAGTAACTGGAAGTGACTGATTTTGAAAATCAGGTTTCTTTTAAAGTGAAATGGTGAGCCGGGGAGGGGAAATTATACTTTAAAATACCATAAGCAACTTTAAAAAGCCAAAAGAAGAACATGATGGAGATAAGTAAATGGTAAATGTTGGAGCAGATGGTAATGTACCTAATTCAGATTGAATTTCCATTCCAGTCCTGAGTGTAGGAGTGTTTTGGGGCTCTTCCCGTATGCTCCAAACATTTCACAGATGAAAACTGGGACACATGTGATCAAGCAAAAGAGTGTGGTTAAGATGGCATAAGTTCTTAATGAGGGAGAATACACAGATTTGGAGAGGATAGAGCAGTTGATTTTGCCTGAGCCTATGTTTCAACCCAGAGCAGGATTCCCTCTGACTTTAAACACCACACAGTTGAGTTAAAATAGCAAGCAGTTTATTGAAGATAGTAAAAGCCAAAGCAAGAAAAGTAATCCACAGTAAAAAGGCAAATCCAATTGATTAGGAAGTACAAAGAGCAATAAAATCCAAAGAAGAATAGTCAAAGGAAGTCCATTAAACCTGAGGCTTGATTTCAAAGGCAAGATAACATCAAAGACACTTAAAATATGAACCAAACAAAGACAAAGATCCAGGAATTTGGCGTGAAGAACTTAACGTGAATCCAACATTGCTTCGTCTGAAGGTAGACTCTGCATTTGACACTATATATCTACTTTGCTTCCCAAGCAGCTAGGAATGGCTTTTTCCTTACTTTTGGTTTCTCTACTAGCTTCTGCTCTAACCTGGCTGAGCACCTTAGTTTCTGATTTGTTTGTCTCTCTTGGCTAAAAGCTCTTTTTCTGTTCAAGGCTTCATTAAAATCTGCACATGGAGTTAACAGACCCTGGGACTGCAGCTCAGAGCTTCTCCCAGGCTCAAGACCTTGAGATTCCCTTTGCAGCAACACAGGCCTGTCTAAGCCATCAACTGAACTGCATTCAGGCCCCACATCCCTAAAACTAGGCCCAGGAAACAGACCATCATCCCCATTCCCTTCAGAAACATCTTCATGAACAGCATCCCCATTCCCATCAGAGGAATCTACTTCAACATGAACAACATTGTCATTCCCATCATCCAAAGCAACCTGATCATTAGACACAACATTGTCATTCCCATCATCCATAGCAACCTGATTGCTAGACACAATTACAGGTTGAACTCCAACAGCCTACTGGGAAGGGCAAGATTATATGTTTCTCCTCCTTGCTGAGTTAATAGAGAATAAAGTATTTTTGTATGTAGTTTGGGTTCAGTTTGCAGCAGTTGAAATAAGCTGAGGACAAAGAGGAAAATGAGAAGAACAGAGAGAAACTAGGACACTTTAGAAACAACTGATCAAATGGGATGGCAGAGGATTAATTTGGAATTATCATTTATTTATTTACTTATTTATTCAAACTTATATGCCGCCACTCCCCTGGGGCTCGGAGCGACTTACAAGAACAGGCTAAAATCTAACACAATTTAAAAACAATTTAAAACAATTTAAAAACAGCAATATCAAAGATCAAAGGCCTGTTGAAACAGATATGTCTTACATGCCTTGCGGAAAGCTGATAAGTCCCGCAAGGCACGGACTTCAGGTGGCAGAGTATTCCAGAGTGATGGTGCCACTGCTGTGAAGGCTCTGCGTCTGGTTGCTGTTAGACGCAAGGTCTTGACACTGGGAATTTCCAATAGATCTTGGTCCTCAGAACGGAGGGATCTCTGGGGTTGGTAGGGGGTGAGGTGGTCCCTCAGGTACATCGGCCCCAGACCATGCAAGGCCTTAAAGGTGAGTACCATCACTTTGAAAGTGATCCGGTGCTCAATTGGTAACCAATGCAGCTGCAGTAAGATTGGTGTTATGTGGCATCTCTTCGGAGTTCCCACAAGAAGCCAAGCAGCTGCATTTTGTACCATCTTGAGCTTCCGGATCACCGAGAGAGGAAGGCCAATGTAGAGGGCATTACAGTAGTCCAGTCTTGAGATGACCGTGGCCTGGATCACCGTAGCTAGGTCATCCCTGGACAGGTAGGGGGCCAGCCGTCTAGCCTGCCGCAGGTGAAAGAAGGCGGTTCTGCTCACGGTGGAGACCTGGGCCTCCATTGTCAGCAGAGGGTCCAAAAGGACTCCCAGACTCTACCAATGATGATAGGCGTAGCGCCTCGCCATCCAGGGTAGGCAGCTGGATGTCCCCACTGCCCGGTCGACCCAGCCATAGGATCTCCGTCTTTGCTGGATTCACCCTCAACCTGCTGGCACACAGCCATCCAGTAACGGCCTCGAGGCACTGATGGAAATAATCGGGTACAGAGTCCGGTCGGCCTTCCATCTTCAGCACCAGCTGAGTGTCATCAGCGTACTGGTAACACTCAAGCCCAAAACGTCAAACCAGATGAGCAAGTGGTCGCATATAAATGTTAAACAACAGACTGATACAATTGGAGGGTATGTGTTTTGCTATAGCTTTCTGGATTCTTTTACATTCCTATATAGATGCCAGTGATATTATGGAAGGAAAGACAATATTTGACCTTCAGGTTCTGCAGTCTGGAGCAATGACTGCTGTGAAATCCTTGTTAGTTTATTTATTTATGGCTGTTTCTGTGCCTCTGCAGCGCATGGTGTTTGGGCAACATCTGCTCTGATGAAATTAGCTCACAATAATAAATGAATGTGTTTTTAAAAGTATACTGGCAGGAAAGTAGCCTGAATTGTGCTGCTCTCTCCTAGTCCCCTGGTAGCTACCCAAGGAAGATTGAAATCATCCCTTCCATTTCCTCCTAATTTTGCTTTCTGCAGAGGAAAGATCAATGGAGGCCACTCAGGGGTTGTGGCAACTGGAGCAAAAGAGCCACAGACCTGTAGATGGGAAGCAGATTGGTGCAATGTGGCCGTTCCTCTGCAGTGTTGGGGCTGCAGTGATAAGAATCTCCCGTCAATGGTGAATGCAAGAGCTACGAAGACAAAAGGGAAGCGCTCAGAGCCTCTGATGGAAATCTCAAAAGGCCAAAATCCTATTTTGGGAGCTGTGCCGGTGGAGTTATGCATTGGTTGTGCAAAGCGCTCTTTGTCCTGAAAGGCAATGTTGCACGGATGCATCTACACTGTAGAAATAATGCAGCTTGACATCACTTTCACTGCCATGGCCCAATGCTATGAAATAATGGGAATTGTAGTTTAGAGAGCTACTAGCTTTATTTGGCAGACTAAGCCAAAGACCTTGTAAAACTACAAATGCTATGGTGCCATAGCCAAGAAGAGGAGGAAGAAAAGAAGAAGGTGAAGGAGAAAAAAAGAAGAATGGAAGAAGAGGAAGACAAAAAGAAGAGGAAGAAAGTGAAGGAAAAATAAAGGAAGAGAAAAGGAGGAGAAGAATAAAGGAAGAAGAGGAGTAAAAGAAGAAGAAGAAGGTGAAGGGAAAAAAGGAGGAGAAAAGGAGGAGAAGAATAAAGGAAGAAGAGAAAAAGAAAAGGAAGAAGTTGAAAGAAAAAGAAAAGAGGAGAAAAAGGGAAAAGTAGAAAGAAGAGAAAGGGAAAAAGAAGAAGATGGCAAAGGAGAAAGAAAAGGGGAAAAAGTAGAAAGGGAAGAAGAGAAAAAGAAGGCAAAGAAGGTGAAGGAAAAAGAAAGGAGGAGAGAAAGAGGAGAAATATAAAGGAAGAAGAGAAAAAGAAGAGGAAGAAGGTGAAGGAGAAAGAAAAACGGAGAAAAAAGAGGGAGGAGTAGAAAAGAGGATGAAGAATGGGAAGGGAAAAAAGAAGAAGGTGAAGGAGAAAAAAGGAGGAAAAGGAATAAAGGAAGAAGAGGAGAAAAAGAAGAGGAAGAAGGTGATTGAGAAATTAAAGAGGAGCAAAAAGAGGCAGTAATAGAAAAGAGGATGAAGAAGGGGAAGGGAAAAAAGAAGAAGGTGAAGGAGAAAAAAAGGAGGAAATAGAATAAAGGAAGAAGAGGGGAAAAAGAAGAGGAAGAAGGTGACTGAGAAAGAAAAGAGGAGAAATAAAGAGGGAGGAGTAGAAAGAAGGGAAGAAGAGGAAGGGAAAAAGAAGAAGGAGAAATAAAAGAGGAGAAAGAAGAAAGGAAGAAGTGGAGGAGAAAAAGAAGAGAAGAAGAAAGAAAAAGAAGGAGGAGAAAAAAGAGGAGAAGAATAAAGAAGAAGAGGAGAAAAAGAAAAGGAAGAAGGTGAAGGAGAAAGAAAAGAGGAAGAGAAAAAAAGGGAGGAGTAGAAAGAAGAAGGGAAGAAGAGGACTGGAGGAGAAAGAAGAATAGAAGGAGTAAGAAAGAAGGCGAAGGAGCCATGGCAGTTAAAATCGTACCCAAAAAAGGCACCCTAAGTTTACCAGGCATTTTATCCTCCAACCACCTCAGTTTACACCTCAGTGTAATCAACGGTCCTTGCACCTTTTCAGCTTCTCTAGATATCAAGCATCACCTGTGGTCCTTTTGTTCCGTGCACTTAGCACAATAGAAAGCAAAAGCACACCTGAGTGGAGATCCCACTCTCTTTTATATCTCTCTGTTAGGAATATTTTTCAAACCTAACCTGTGTGGAACAGTTGCTACTATTTGCATCACATCACATTGTTAGGAAAAGCTTTTCTTTTCTTTAACACTAAGACCTGTAGCAGATGTAGAATAGACAGCTGGTGGAGGGAACTGACTGATTTGGGGGAGCTGTAAATGAATAGAATAGAATAGAATGTAAAAGAGAATGTAAAAGAGATGTTCAAGGTATTGTCGAAGGCTTTCATGACCGGAATCACTGGGTTGTTGTAGGTTTTTTGGGCTATATGGCCATGTTCTAGAAACCCAACAGATTGTGTGTTCCTGAATGGAATGGGGTTGCACTGGATTGTTCTTGGGTTCTTGTCCAATTCTATGAGTCTATGAATAACAGACATAATGGTCTTATTCTGTGTTTACTTTCCTCTCCCCGGTGTAACTCAAGGTGCAGCAACGCCATCCCACGACTTTGATGATCTCTTCCCAGCTGTGACCCCTGGAGACTTCACTACCCAAGAACATCAGGGGACGGAAGAAAGAGCGTCAGTCACCCTTCCTGGTGCTTCCCCATTGCTGAAGCAGTCTGAAATCTCTGCACACTCTGCACCTCCTACCTACGTTACTGTAGTTGAAACACTGGATGCTGGAGGTTAGTTGATATGTTTTGACTGTTTATGTTCATTGGTCCTTAATCTGTTTGCAGAACCACCTTTTCCTTGTGCAGTATGGATTAGATTTTGCCTTTCGCTTTGCATGGTTTTATCATTTTTGCAAGCGAGTCACATCATCTCCTGTTATGTTTAAAATGTGTGACTGTGGAGCAGAACAGACAACTCCGCATCTGTATGCTTGTCCACTATGCCCTGCCTCATGTACAGAGGAAGAATTGTTGGAGGCTACAGACAATGCCATTGCTGTTGCCCGTTTTTGGTCAAAAGATATTTAGCCACCTGCGCTCCTTCTATTTTTATCAGTTTTATACTAATTTATGAAATGCTTTTGATACAATATAAATAAAAACTCCAACCATCACCCAAGTCAAAAAAGAAGCACAATTAAAGCCTTGGCAGACCGTGCAAAAAGAATCTGCGAACCCCACCTCCTCCAAGATGAACTGAACCACCTCAACTGGGCTCTCCAGGCCAATGGAGACTCCACCTCAGACATCAGAAGAGCTGCAAGACCACCAAGAACAAGCCACGAGAGTCAAGATGAAGATCCACCCAGAGGAAAAGTGTTCCTGCCATACATCAAGGGAACCACTGACCGCATAGGGAAGCTGATGAGGAAACACAATATACAAACCATCTACAGACCCACCAAGAAAATCCAACAAATGCTACGTTCAGCAAAGGACAAGAGGGATCCTCTCACTTCTGCAGGAGTCTACCGTATACCATGCAGCTGTGGACAAGTCTACATAGGGACCACCAAACGCAGCATTGCCAACACGAATCAAGGAACATGAAAGGCACTGCAGACTACTTCAACCAGAGAAGTCAGCCATAGCAGAGCACCTGATGAACCAACCTGGACACAGCATATTTATTTGAGAACACATAAATGCTGGACCACTCTCACAACCACCATGTCAGACTACACAGAGAAGCCATTGAAATCCACAAGCATGTGGACAATTTCAACAGAAAGGAGGAAACCATGAAAATGAACAAAATCTGGCTACCAGTATTAAAAAACTCTAAAATTGCAACAGCACAACAACAGAGAGGAAACAAACAAGGACATCTAATCACCTCTCAACAAAAGTTTGCTCCAGGCACTGTCAGGCCATTATATGCTAATCAAGGTGGTCAGTTGAAACATTCACACCTAGCTCCAGCAGACAAGAGTCCTTTGTTCTACCCTGGTCATTCCACAGATATATAAACCCTTTTTCCTAGTTCCAACAGACCTCACAACCTCTGAGGATGCTTGCCATAGATGCAGCCGAAACGTCAGGAGAGAATGCCTCTAGACCATGGCCATATAGCACGAAAAAACCTACAACAACCCAAATAAAAAATCTCCTGTTATGTCCAAAAATGCAAATCTCTTTTGGAATATCCACTAAATTAAAGAAGAACATGCAGAAGCAGAGAGTGTCTCCACACTGTGGAGTGTGCACAGTTTGACATCACTTCATATGCCACGGCTCAGTGCTATGGAATTATGGGAGTTGCAGTTTGGTGGGGTCCCAGCAGTGAGTAGTTTTAACTTTGAATATGCTTTAAGGGAGGGATATATATAGTGTATTTTTTGGGTTTTTAAGTCTGTTCCACTGGGGTTTTTTTGGTGTTTTTAGGGGTGATAGACACTTGTTGTTAGGTATATTGTGTCAAAATTTCGTGTCAATTCGCCCAGTGGTTTCTGAGTTATGTTTCTCCCACAAATGAACATTACATCTATATATATAAAAATGCTCTGTGCATAATGAGTACCTAAAAAACAAAAGAACCAATGAACGAAATCACACCAAATTTGGCAACAAAATGTCTCACAACACAAGGAGTGACCATCACTCAAAAAATTATGATTTTGTCATTTGGGAGTTGTAGTTGCTGGGATTTATAGTTCACCTACAATCAAAGAGCATTCTGAACTCCACCAATGATGGAATTGAACCAAATGTGGCACACAGAACTCCCATGACCAACAGAAAACACTGGAAGGGTTTGGTGGGCATTGACCTTGAGTTTGGGAGTTGTAGTTCACCTACATCCAGAGAGCACTGTGGACTCACACAATGATGAATCTGGACCGAACTTGGCACGAATATTCCATATGCCCAAATATGAACACAGATGGAGTTTGGAGGGAATAGACCCTGACATTTAGGAGTTGTAGTTGCTGGGATTTATAGTTCACCTATAATCAAAGAGCATTCTGAACCTCACGAACGAGAGAATTGGGGCAAACTTCCCACACTGAACCCCCATGACCAACAGAAAATACTTCAGGCCACCCAGTCCAACTCCCTTTACCAGGGGAAGAAAAAGTAATCAAAGCCCTCCTGACAAAGAGCCATCCAGCCATAGATATATATGATTCACACACACACACAGATATAGTATCAGATTTGAAAGGGACCCCTAAAGAAGGACAATTATATGTTGACTGTTCCAAAGTAGGCAAACCAGACCATCTCCACATCAGCACTGACAAAGAAACAAGATATACTGCTTACCCACAAGCACAAATACATTACATATATTAGAAATCAACACCTTCTCATTATTTTCCAAATCACCAGACTAGGCCACAGCAACGTGTGGCAGGGGACGGCTAGTTTTATATATATAGACTAGAGCAAAATGTGCTGCAGGATGATATCCCTCTCACAAAAACAAAGTTTTTTCCATGTTTTTATGGGAGAACCAATTAGGAAATTACATTTATGACCCCGGAACAAACATTGTTTCACATCATGTTATCTAACTATTTACTTGTTCTGTCTTCACCGTACAGTTCCTGCCACATCTCAAGGAAAGGCAGGGGTTGCTTCCATTGCTGAAGCTCCAACTGAGCCAAGAGTGCAGTCAGAAGAGATCTTTGGTGTGACCGAAGCCATGGCTGCTCCTCCTTCCTCGGCATCTGCCACAAGGAAGACCACCATCCCTGCCATGCACCGGATAACCACAGCTGCCACCTATGAGCTGGATAGACTGGAATCGGAAGGTAACTGTATTAAGTGATTTCTAGGTACAGGCAGTCCCTGAGTTACAAACAACTGACTTACAAATGACTCCTAGTTAAGAATGGGGGTGACGTCAACAGGAGGAAGTGAGAGAAATCTATCCCTCGGAAGGAAAATCCACTCCTGGAAGAGTTATTATCATGGGGAAAGAGATTTCCACTGAAGCTTTCTCACCAATCCTTGTTTCCACAACAAGCCGATTTTTTTGAAATTCAATTTCTACCGACACACACACACACACTCACATACATACATGCTTTTACTTACTTACTTACTTACTTACTTACTTAGACGATCGCTCGTTGTCCGAGTAAGATTGTCCTCCAAGTTCGGTGTCCTGGTGGTGGGTACATAGGTGACTGTGGAGCCCTATTCATGATCTGCATGTTCCCCCGCAGTGAGGGCATTGGTTTCCAGGTGGAAGGTGGTCCCGGTTGGGGTTGACGCGAGGTTACTATCATGGGGGAAAGGGGTCTCCACTGAAGCTTTCTCACCAATCCTTGTTTTCACAACAAGCCAATTTTTTCAAAATTCAATTTTCACCGACACACACATTCACATACATACATGCTTTTACTTACGTACTTACTTAGGCGATCCCTCATTGTCTGAGTAAGATTGTCCTCCAAGTTCGGTGTCCTGGTGGCAGATACGTAGGTAGCTGTGGAGCCCTATTCTTGACTCGCATGTTCTCCCGCAGTGAGGGCATTGGTTTCCAGGTGGAAGGCGGTCCCGGTCGGGGTTGGCTTGACACGCCTTCCTCTTGGCACGTTTCTCTCTTTCACTCTCCATTCGTGCCACTTCAAATTCTGCAGCACTGCTGGTCACAGCTGACCTCCAGCTGGAGTGCTCAAGGGCCAGGGCTTCCCAGTTCTCAGTGTCTATGCCAGAGTTTTTAAGGTTGGCTTTGAGCCCATCTTTAAATCTCTTTTCCTGTCCTCAACATTCCATTTTCCATTCTTGAGTTCAGAGTAGAGCAACTGCTTTGGGAGACGGTGGTCAGGCATCCGGACAATGTGGCTGGCCAGCGGAGTTGATGGCGGAGGACCATCGCTTCAATGCTGGTGGTCTTTGCTTCTTCCAGCATGCTGATATTTGTCGCCTGTCTTCCAAAGAGATTTGCAGGATTTTTCAGAGGCAATGCTGATGGAATAGTTCCAGGAGTTGCATGTGACATCTGTAGATACATACATGCATGCATATTTTGGCTGGAGTTACACTTAAAAATTGTTCCTTTTCTGACTTACATACAAATTAAACTTAAGGACAAACCTACAGAACCTATCTTGTTCCTAACTTATTTATTTATTTATTTATTTACAGTATTTATATTCCTCCCTTCTTACCCTGCAGGAGACTCAGGGCGGATTACAATGTACGTGTTAGGCTTGGGTGATCAAGAAAAAGTTTGGTTCTAAACTCGTTTCGTATATAGGGGGCTCTCGCGTTTCTAATCTGATAGGATTTCTGAAATTTCCAATTTTAAAATTTCGATATTTACGAAATTTCGTAAATATACGAATTGATTCGTTAATGGCGGACACGATTGCGCAATACACGCAATACGTGAAAAAAACCTCCAAACGGGATAGAGGGAACTTCTGAAGCTTCCCTCTCCCTCTGTTGTTGACTGTTGGCGATAAAACTAACAACTAACCAAAACCAAACTCCAGTCTTTAAAACGCTTTGAAACGGCTTGTCTTAACCCAGCTAAACGTCTTCTTCCTGGCCCAACAGTTTAAAACTATTATTATTATTATTATTATTATTATTATTATTAAGAATGGATGGCCATCTGTCAGGGGTGCTTTAATTTGATATTCCCAGCATGAAGGCAGAAGGGGGTTTGTTGTTGTTACAACAACAACAACAACAAACCCCCTTCTGCCTTCTTGCTGGGAATATCACATTAAAGCACCCCTAATAATAATAATAATAATAATAATAATAATAATAATAATAATAATAATAATAGTTTTAACCCCTGCCCAGGAAGGCAGGAGGTTAGGCAGGCAACAGGCAGGTCTCTGTGAGTGCTGCACTACTGTGTCCTCTTTGCCCAATGCAGGCCAGAGTGAGGAACAAGGTGACCAGCAGGAGGAGAGGGGAAATTGATCCCCTTAAGCGGAGGCCAGGGACCCGTAAGTGGGGTAAATGCCAACCGCTTGCAACCAGGGAGAGGGGAGGGAAACTCTGAGTTTTTAAAACTTGCACCAGACATCCGAAATAATTACGAAAATGGGGAAATTGTTTCAATTCTTAATTATTCTTCACACTATTCCTGCATGGCTCGATATTGGATCGTAAGCTAATTTAAATACGAATTAATAACGAGATAGGAAATTAACGATCTGGATCACCCAAGCCTAGTACGTATATATGGCAAACATTCAATGCCTAGACACACAACATATATAGACAGACACAGAGGCAATTTAACATTCCAACCTTTCATGAGGATATTCTGGCCACCAAGGGAGCTGTTGCTTCACCGTCCATTTGTGACACTGATGAAGTACTTCCTCATTCTTTGCAGGCTTGCTGGAGATTTTTATGGCATCGTAAATTAGTTAAATTAGCCTCACCGCTTAGGTGGTATCTAAATTTCCTACTTGACAGATGCAACTGTCTTTCGGGCTGCAAAGGCCGACAGCGAGCTACACAAATTGGTCGGACACTCACTCCAACCCGGGCTGGCTTTGAACTCATGACCTTTCAGTCAGTAGTGATCTTAATGCAGCTGACTCCCAGCCAGCTGCACCACAGTCCCAGTACTTGTCCATTCTATAGTATACTTCTGCCAGAAGTTACCATGTGTTTGTTGATTTATTTTATTTACTTTTTTTTGATCCCATCTTTGGAACTCAATGCGACTATCATTGAGCCATTCTTGAAATTTCTTATAAAGGATACATCTCTAGGAATTCCCTTTAGCTGCTCCAGAATGACTCTACATTTAGCAGAAGCCATTCATTTCAATAGGATTCACTGTTACTCATAGTTTCCTGTTTCCGATGTAATATCAGGAATGTATCCCTGGTGGATACAGGGGTAGTGCTGTATATGGCCAGTGTAGACTCATGTGACACAGTTTAACTGCATTATATGAATCTACACAAGGCATGGGCAAACTTGGGCCCTCCAGGTGTTTTGGACTTCAACTCCCACAATTCCCAACAGCCGGTAGGCTGTTGGGAATTGTGGGAGTTGAAGTCCAAAACACCTGGAGGTCCCAAGTTGTCCATGCCTAGTATAGACTCATATAATGTAGTTCTATGCAGTTAAACCATATATTGCATTCCCAAACGACATTATATGACAACGTAGATCAAGCTTTAGAAGAGCTTAGAAGGTCATATGATGGTTTTAAGAAATGGGTGCACCATGATCCCATTATACTTGGACTCAATATCTATGGTTTCACTTATCCCAACAAGTATTTCCTCCTAGGGCCCCATCTACACTTGTCATATAATGTAGTGCATTGTATGAGTCTACATCAGGGGTTTTCAAGCTTAGTTGAGGGACTTCTATTCTACGCTGACCCTGTAATGCAGTTTCAAACTGCATTATATGACAGTGTAGACGTGGCCTGTCTGCTCCAGTGTGATTCTTTAGATGTTTCTGTTCAACATCTTTATTAATGACTTAGATGAAGGGCTAGAAGGTATGATCATCAAGTTTGCAGACGACACCAAATTGGGAGGGAGAGCCAATACTCCAGAGGACAGGAGCAGGACTCAAAACAATCTTGACAAATTAGAGAGATGATGGGCCAAAACTAACAAAATGAAGTTCAACAGGGACAAATGCAAGATACTCCACTTTGGCAGAAAAAACGAAATGCAAAGATACAGAATGGGGGACGCCTGGTTTGAGAGCAGTACGTGTGAAAAAGATCTTGGAGTCCTCATGGACAACAAGTTAAACATGAGCCAACAATGTGATGTGGCGGCAAAAAAAGCCAATGGGATTTTGGCCTGCATCAATAGGAGCCTAGTGTCTAGATCTAGGGAAGTCATGCTACCCCTCTATTCCGCTTTGGTTAGACCGACCTGGAATTCAGGTTACCACAATTGAAGAGAGATATTGACAAGCTGGAATGTGTCCAGAGGAGGGCGACTAAAATGATTAAGGGTCTGGAGAACAAGCCCTATGAGGAGCGGCTTAAGGAGCTGGGCATGTTTAGCCTGAAGAAGAGAAGGATGAGAGGAGATATGATAGCCATGTATAAATATGTGAGAGGAAGCCACAGGGAGGAGGGAGCAAGCTTGTTTACTGCTTCCTTGGAGATTAGGACAAGGAACAATGGCTTCAAACTACAAGAAAGGAGATTCCATCTGAACATGAGGAAGAACTTCCTGACTGTGAGAGCCGTTCAGCAGTGGAACTCTCTGCCCCGGAGTGTGGTGGAGGCTCCTTCTTTGGAAGCTTTTAAACAGAGGTGGATGGCCATCTGTCAGGGGTGATTTGAATGCAATATTCCTGCTTCTTGGCAGTGGGGTTGGACTGGATGGCCCATGAGGTCTCTTCCAACTCTTTGATTCTATGATTCTAGGTTTGGACTGGATGGCCCACAAGGTCTCTTCCAACTCAATGATTCTATGGTGCTAATCAAAATATAGGGTTTACTATTATTCATAGTTTTAGGCATCCAAAGTGTGTCTTGGAACATATCCCACATGGATATGGGAATCTTACTGTTTGTATTTCTTTATGCCAAAGGACCATACTTTGCCTACTGAACCTTACAAAGAAAGTGTAGGACAGGTATCCTCAAACTGCGGCCCTCCAACTCCCAGAAGTCCTAACGAGCTTGTTCAATTGTCAGGAATTCTGGGAGTTGAAGGAACAAACAGCTGGAGGGCCACTGTTTGAGGATGCCTGGTGTAGGGCATTACGGCATCCTATAGTCCATCTGCTAGAATTCAATCTCATTCTAGGGAAATATGCATTGTCTCAGTTATGCTGGAATATGAGT